CCGGGAACACCACCGTGATTGGTGGTGATGGTTTTATAAAAAAATAAAAATAAAAAAACAAAACAAAAAAAAACCCACCCAGCACGCCCCTGCGGGCGGTTTATCCTTCAAGCTCGGGTCCTCTACCAGAGGCCTGGGAGCTTGAGTCCTGCGCAGTATCTTAGCTGTTCCCAGGACTGCGCTCTTCTGGAGAGAGATCTCCGATATACATACGTGTACGTACGTACGTACAGACAGACAGATAACCATCACCACCAATCATGGTGGGCTGTCTGCACCAAACATGCCTGTTTTTTTTGTCCCAGTCCAGATCTGGATGCAGCCAATAATAAGAATGCTCATTTAGCTGCATTTAGCCATTAAGATGTCTTCTGATCAGAATATTATACATGCGATTATTTAACAGCCTGTGTGTGATGTTCCGTTTACACACAGTATGCTAGCGATCACATGTTAGTAAACATGGCAGTCACACAATCATGTCAGTTGTTGCTCGTCCATTGGAGCTGTGATTTCTGAATCACACATCCACACAAACAAAAACCCAACTCTGGTCAAACATCTCTCGTACCTCACACCATCCATTTCTTTCCTAAATAACTTAAATAATCTCTCGTCTGTGAGTGGCTGTGTGCAGGTAAACCCATCTGGTTACATTAATGTGTAATGTTTGTGTTGCCTGGCAACAGCAGGAAAGAAAAACCCAAATATCAGAGCTGAGACGTTATCTCACTAATGTAATTGCATTGAATAACAGATCCAATTCCACTAATGGGGAAGGTGACTCTTACTCACAGTGACTAAAAATAGGACGCCTGGTGTCCCCAGGTTCCAGTAAAGTCAGGGGTGATGGCTGATTTTAAATGAAAATGAACGTTTTAATAAATCTTGAGGAGCCTTTTCAGCGAGTTGCTCTGGGGCACAAACAGGACAGGATTGCAAATATGAACCAAATTTACGTCACCAGGTATGTCACATGTGGAGATAGCGGTGCAAACCTTTTTTTCCTCTGATCATCATTCCTTTTTTTAGAAATTGTCAACAAGTTGCCAGCTTAGCTCGACCAGAGGCAATTAAAATGCTCAGTGAAGTGAGACGCAGGGCAGATGGTCAGGCAAAAAGTGGCACAAGCCAGCTTGATGCACAACTGGTAACACAGGTTGTCTTTGCTTAGGTCTGAGCCCCAGCGTGCCCACCCTCGTGCCAAAAGCAACGCATGTCCGCTGATGAAATAGCTCAATTTATCTTGTGCCTTAAATTGTTGCCATCTATTTCACCAATCAATAAACCGCAAAACGTGGAAGTGTTGAGGAGGCTCAACATCCCACTGTGAACACCTGGATTTAATTATTTCCATAAGACACATTTACCTACAATGAGCTACGTATTGACTGATGTTTTTTTAATGAAAGAAACAAATGCAGGAGGAGGGAAAATATTCAGGAAAACCACATCATACAAGAGCTGATGTCACAGGAGCTACACCTTGTTGTGATGGAGGTGTTGCCTGTCCCAACAGCGGTACTGGGAGTTTCTCCCACAGGGTTCAGACTGCTCCTTGGTTTTATCCTGCCAGGCAGTTTCTTTCCAGGTGCCTAATCAGACTTACCCGTCCTGGAAGACATAAGGTGAATTTAACCTCCTAGGACCTGCGTCCACATATGTGGACATCACAATTTGGGTTATTTAGACCAAAATAGTCAATTTTGCTCTACAAGGGCCTGATATCCACTTAGGAGGACATTATAGTGCTACTGTTCTATCGAAATTTTAAACGAATATCCTCATATGTGGATCTCATTTTTCTTAGAAACAAAAATCAGGTAAAAAAAAAATAAAAAAATCTGGTAATTCTTTGTTTTTACATTCATCAGGTCCCAATCAGCCCAAATATCAGCCGAGGACTAGACTGGAGGATTACTCCTGCAGACTCTGTCACACATCGATTTTGAACTGAACACCTGAAGGCAACAACTTCACTAGACTGTAAAAACTACTCAATCCTGCGGCAGCGTCAGGGACCAAGCAGTAAAGCATAAAGGACACAGGTGGTTTTAATTCAAAAAGGGGTTTTATTGACCCAAAAATATGAAAACATATTTAACAAAGCCAAAACTTAAACAGGCAGACCAATAAAAGAGGTCAACTCAATAGACTAAACTCAAGATAATAATTAACAAAACCTCAAACAAACATATGATAAACTGACCTTCTGAAATGACACACGGGGAACTTAAATACTGGTCTAGCTAAACCAAATGACACACACGGGGGAAAACAAGATGGCTGCCATATAACCCACTAATACAAAACAATGAAACAAACATGAAACACCCCCCAGGCAATGAAGCATGTGGTGCAATCCAATTAGGCTGTCAGTGGTACTTCAGGTCTCGCAGCCCTTTGCCAGACAGGAGAAGCCAACCCCCAGGTAACTCGAACAAAGAAAGATGTATTAATATAACATAAAACAGAACTTTGACCTTGCAAGGTTAATATGTGTGCACGCCATATAAACATTGGAAGGTGTGATGGAAAAATAAATACATTTAATAAAGAAACAATATTGAACAATAAGTAGAATATTTTAAAGTAGTGACTGTAAATTAAACTAAAGTGAATCAACGGGTGGTGAGGTGTGGAGCTTACCATGTGTGGCATGCCATCACAGGCAGGAAGGGCTTCGTCCCCACGACTGTGCCGTATCACACTGTCCACAGCACACGGGCATACATATTCACATGGTATAAAAACATATCACGATGTCATTGCTATACCATCGCCATGCTTTCCTGTTTCCACAGCAAGGAGACGAGCCCTGCATGGCCTCAGCCTCTGATGAAGATTTCATACGTAGTAAGGGAGCTACTTCAATAACAGAGCCCAGTACTTTTGCTCCAGTTACAGGCCATGTGTAACCGAAGCAGTGCTCAGCTGTACTCCATGTGACAGGAAGAGCAAACTGTGGAGCGACTGATGCAGTTATATGATTGAAAAGCAGGGCTTTAAAAGGCCAAGTTACTTTAGTCACTGTAAAATTAATGTGTTAAGCAATTCTTCTACATGGTTTATTGACAGGTTTTAGGGACAGCACTACCTGGGCTGCTTCTGTTCGACCTATGCTGTGTTACTCCTATTGCCATGACAGGAGTTCATCGAAAAAGGAGGATGAACGCCTATCGTTTACGTACCCTGATAAAGGCTGCACCCGTTCAGTGGCTTTTTCTATATCATCACAAATCATTATCACAAATGTTCTTGAAAGGCTACATCGCCCTCCCTTACTCCGCCCTGATAGCTGACTGTAAGGTTTCTGGAGCCCTTTTAACACAAGTACTTTAGAAGAGTTGGAGAAAGAGCTGTGAGTACAGCGGCTTCATCCCCCTCCTGTTTATTAAACATGACGCCTATTAGAAACACGTTTGCTTAAAGGGAGGGTAAAGGAGCAAAAGCGCGTCCATCCAGGTGTCAGCTCGTCCCTTCTTCTAAAATATTTTTCACCTTTAGCAAAACAGAAAAACACAGAATGGGTTTGAAGGCCTGCATCACCACTCGGGCTGCACAATGTGTAATGTTGATAATACGTTTTTTCATCACAATCCCCTGATTTTAGTGACAAAACTGTTTTGCTGTCACACAAACATAGCCCTACGTTTTCCATGTAGTGGGACACACCTGCTGATGCACAGATCTCTGCAGTAAAATAAATCAGTGCTCTACAAATAATGAATTTATCCATCTACTAAAAGCAGGAGATAAAGTTTTGCACCCCACTCATTGTACCTGCATGATGCATGTGACCAAGTAGGAACGTTTGACGGCCTTCTCTTTTTCCCAGTGTTTTGTGTACAGTGAAGTATCCCCACTCCTGTGTCCATTTTCCAGAAGTCTTCATCCCTCACCGTGTTTGCTGGACACTTATCGTTGGCCAGAGGGAATGCAGCTGCTTTGGTGATTTCAGTGCATCTGTGTGAGCTGGATGGACGTGCTGACGAGCTGCACTGGCTGATGTTGGACTTTTCACATTAGCAACCGCCGCAGTGTTTTTCTTGGCTTTAATGCATTTGTTGTACTGCAGTCAGTGGTGTGTAACTTAGTCGTGTTGCTTTGCAGACCCACAGCAATCTTTGCACATTATTTCATCTTGGTTGGTCACTTCCCATAAATCCAAAGTATTTCCAAACAACGGATGGCGATCTGCTTCGAGTTCCAAGTTCTTCTCCTTTAGCTGTGATTTCTGTTTCGATGCTCTGTTGTGTATCCGTCTTATCTAGTCGCCATCCAGGAAACTTTAAGCTTTCATTGGCACACGTCATTCGATCATGTTCGTTTAGTTGTGGGAAGCCTAAATGGTGACTGATTGTCCTAAAACTACCAGAATTGCCCTAGAGCTGGGAAATTGGGATTGTTTGATCACTCTTCACTTACATGTACAAGCTTGTAATCATGGGGCAAGAAATGATGTGAGACAGACGGGAGGTCGGTCACTGACACCCACCTATCCGTGCAGGACATTTCACTTTGAAAGCATGGATAGGAACATACTCCCTGAGTGGGCCTTCAGTAAGAAAAAGTCTGAGGTTTGTTAACATGCATAAATGTCTGAGCGGAACAACGTGTGCACCACCACGAGCTTAACAGAGGCCTGAGACAGAGGTACTTCAACCATGCGAGCATGGTGGGGGGGTCAGTCAGCTGAAACTTGTGCCCCCCCCCACCTTTAGACATTAGGCCTTCACAGTACGTTAATGCAATAATTCACTGTCTGCTGCACAGTCTTTGTAGTAATTAGTCGTTAATTACATACCGCTGTTAAGTTTGTTAACGGGACTGCCATCAAAATAGTGACCCTCACCCTCACCACCACCATCATCATCATCATCATCCCCGCGTCTGTCAGCTCTGATGTCGCACTGTGGGCTGTTAGGCCTCCGCTGATGCACACAGACAGTAAGTCACACCAGCACTAACACCACCGAGGACGACAACGACGCTTTTACCTGGCGAGTACAGCCGTGCTAGCTGTCGGGCTCCGGCGTGCTGCGGTCCCCAGCGAGGCGCCGCGCTGCGTGCAGCCGCCCCATGCTCGTTGCCGTTCGGATCCTCCTCCGCCATGGACCGGTGCCTGATGTCGGTCTCGGAGAGTAGCGACGCCGCCATGACTCTCCCCGCTTTGGGCTTTCAGCTACAAGACATCCACCGTGGAGCTGTCCCGGGCGATAGTGTCACGGCCTCCGGCTGTCGCGGCGACCGAGCGGAGGAGGTAGGCTCAACCAATTGATGCTAGCTGGGATGTTACCGGAGCAGCCTCGTGCCACCCGGAAATACTCACACGGACCTATTTCACGGGGCTGTACCCGCCACTGCTGTGAATGTGCACCAAACGACAACCGGACGGTTAAATGTACCGCGGTTTAGTTCCAAGTGTTCTGCTAAACAAACTTTATTTGTGCCTCCGCTGAAAAAAACAGGTCCTCAGAGTTCACCGAGCTGTCGTCAGCGTTAGGGACCGTCTGCGTTTGGCAGCGACGTCACAAAGTGAAAGTACGATCCGAGTACCTGCAGGTGCACAGGAGACTGTAGATCATGTATCTTTAAATATCCATACACACGTTTCTAATTGTTTTAACTGGTGTTGTAGCACTAATGATGGCGCAGTGGTTGTAAGGGTCCGGTGTCAGCATCTGTGGATGTGTTGGCTTCATCCCGCAGTCTTAACATGTGCGCCTCGGGTCATTTATAAACTGGGTGTAAATGATTGTCTGTGTCTCTGTGTTAGCCCTGTGATGGACGGGTGGCCTGCCCTAGTGCAGGAACAAATACGGTAGTTTTAAGGTAACAGTCAGCCAGACATTCAGGAGCTGGAGGACGAATAATAGGACAGATATAGAAATATATGTTTGTTTGTTTGTTTGTTTTTCTTATGAAAAAAGAGTGGAAACGTGCGCGTGTGTGCAGCTATCTCAAAATGCCTCTTGTTACTTATTAGTTGTTTCATATTATTTCTATTCACTTTAATTTAAAAACCAAAGTTTTTAAAAGCCTTTCCCGTTGGCATGTACTCGTCTCCCACCATCTGTGCTGCAATGGAATTCTCCCATTAGTTAATTAATGTCTGTGGTAATGGTAAAAAAAACGCTGTGTGCAGTTAGTTTGGTTAGCTGACAAAAGGATAACATGCATGTGGGCATACAAACCACATCCCAGTGAGTCTTTTAGAAGTAAAACTGAAAGTGTTCAAGGCTGCACAAGGCCAAACAGTTCAGGAACCAGGATGAGTGAGTGTGATCTCCAGTCCCTCAAGACTACACTGCTCTAAGAATGGGTGCAGTTCTGTAGGGTCACAGTTCATCGCTGTATCCACAAATTCAGGTTAATACTGAACCGTGTAATTTTAAAAAAGGACATAAACGAGATGACGAAACATTACTGCCTTCTCTGGTCACAGACTTGATGAACAGTAATCGGGCACAATATTGTCTGACAGATCGATATTCTTTTTAGGAACACCTGATAAAATAACACATTGATTCGTGCCATATAAAAAGTGAGACATGTCAATTCAGATTCTTTGTCAAATATACACTAATGAATCATTTTACATCAGCAGCCTGACAACTGTCATGATAATAAATACTAGTTAATCTATAGCACCAAATCATCAGCCAGTCACCTGTGAGCTACAACATGGCAGAGCTGCCTGTCACCTGACAAACAGGACATACATGACAATAAGAATAAAATGTGGAGCTGCTTCAGTGTTTCTGTCACTTTGTGCAGATCTTGACTCATCAGTAATGTTTGTAGGCTGAGTGCATTTTTAAAACAATTTGTGCAAACTGCACTACAAGGTGGAATATTTGCAAAATCATGACTACCTCATGATATTTTGTCTCAAAAATGAACCCTATGAATACGTCAGTGCCATTAGGATGACATTATTGTGTCACCAACATTTAACGTTAGACATATAATTCTAACAGCCTCTGTAAACTAATATCCGGGCTGCTCGAGGCTGCCGTTTTCTCTGACAGCTTCAATCAAAATGAGAAACGCTGCTCTGAGACTGAGAGAACTAACAGTGCCGCCTGCTGTGCAGGTAGTTTCCCAAACACGTTATTCATGGTTACAGTTTCAGACTGATGTGGGCCAAAGCCTAGCACAGCCTGCAACGTTATTGTGACGCATTTTATGAGTGAACTTGACTTTAAGCGACTGACAGGTTTCTTTGAAAAACACTTTCTTATATCCAGGTTCTTCCTCTTCGCTGCCGTCCTCCTCTCCTCCTGGCAGCGCAGGTTTGCCGCTACTGAAACTAAACAGAGCTCCCTGAAAGGCTCAGCCAATCACATTGGCCATATTTGTCACATGACGTAGGACTCCAGTAGAGCACGTAATTTAACTCTTTCTGCTCCGCTGGGTGAATGAGACGCTGACAGATCGTTTTTTTTCTATCGGGTTTGATTTTCTTTACTCAAAGAGATCAAATTATTGGTGGGGACACGTCCCTTCCGTCCGTGCCAAATCTACGCCCTTGCTTGTCACCCATTGGATTATTTCTGGAGACATTTTTAATGCTGGCTTCAAGTGCAGTTATTCTAAGAAGGAAACAAAACTGTGCAAAGTTTATGAAACGTTACTGCATTACTAATATCAACTAGAAGTGAAAAAATGATGAACCTCTCACTCCTTTATATTTTGCATCCAAACAGCCGTACCTTTTCAAATTAAAGTCTGCTAATAGTTCTTTTTGAAAGTCTTTCGAAGTTCTAGACATCAGCTGCTTTTTCACTCATATTCAGTCCTCGTGCTGGATTTTTGTTTGTTTAGAGCATAAAAAGGCAGTTCATTGAAAGGATGAACCAGTGTTGTGTCTTCACATAACAACATTGGGCACGTTGTTTCTAGTGCCCTGGTGCAAAAACACATGGAAAAATCTGAAAAGATGCAAAAGACAACAGACTGACAGGCATAAAATAGAAGTGTTGCACCAACAAGGTGATTCCCAAAGAACTGTTAGCTAAACACCTGCTATATCTCAGCGTGATGTGCAGTTTGCCCTTCAGAAAATATGAACGACCTGGACAGTTGGAGGAAAAAGAAGAAGTGGCATGTCTAAGAGAATATTTGCGCCAGGTGAACAATATCTGGAAGTCATGAGAGAAAATTCAGCAAAGACCTGACATGGATTCAGAGAGACGCATCTGGCCCTTCAGCTGATCCATCTCCTCTTCATCAGAAATGGTCTCAGTGGGAGGGTGGCTGTGAAGAAGCCATCCATAAGGAAGGAGCACACAAAGGCTGAGGTGTGCCAAATTACACAAGAACCAGGCTGAAACTCGGTGGCTACAGATCCTATGGAGTAATTCATCTGTGTTCAAAATATTGGAGGGAGGGGATCATCAGAGAACTATAACTGTGGGTGTCAGTGGAGGATCGGGCGTGGTTTGGGGCTGATGTTGAGGAAGTTGTTTGAATGATCAATGCAGAAAAGTGCAGCCAGATTTTGATCCATCATGCAACACCATGTGGAAAGAATCTAAATATTTTAGCACAACAATGATCCCAAACATAGAGTATATTTACATGTGTGCTTCCCCATGTTTCAGTACAAATATAAAGAAATGAGGGGCAACTCAAGACTTTTGCACAGTGCTACATGATTTCAACACACATCAATTCCATTGTAAAAAGTCACTGTGGGTCAGCAGAGGAAAAGCTGTTGATAAGTGTGGTCATCATAAACCTCGTTCTTGTGTGCGTGACCTTAGATGAAACTCGACACAGGTGGTCCACTGTGCCTTTTTTCAAACAGATCTATTCACAGAGGATTGTTGCCAGGTGTGATCAGTCCAGCTATCACCTTGTGCCTGAGCATAACGATAAAGGCCAGATTATGCCGTAGTCGCTTGTCTTTGTGCGCCGAGCCGAATGGCTGCATCGTTTCCAGCGCAGTTCTTGGTCACTCTCTGTGTCGCAATATCAGCAAATACGGCACCCAAGCAAACTCATAAATCACATCACACAGCAATTCTTTATTTGTCATTTATTTATTCCTTTCATCTTTTTTCTGTACTAGATTATTGCAATCTGGTTAATTCACATTCAAAAAGCAGTCGTTGACCAGACGCATTGAAATCGATGATATTTATTTTTTTACAATAACCATTATAGGCCCCATAGAGACTGGAAAACCCAATCCAAAAAAAGAAACATCTGTATGGTTTTCTGCACTTTATTTTTGTTTTCATGTCTTTTTGTTTTCATAGTAATTACAAAAAGGAAAAATATATATAACAATAATCATAAAAAGGATCGTTTTAGGTAGCGGTTTAGGAATATTACGACTGGCAAACAATCACAACACAGCACAAGTACCTACTTACTGCAAGAAATGAAAGGTACAAAAATGAAAACAAAAGCAAAGAAGCGCATATGGAAAAGGAAAAATCAAAGAAAACGGCACCTATGAAGTCGAATACAATAAGCGACCGAGGGGACGAGAAAGTACAGTCTATGAAAAAGCAAAACAAAAAAATCCCAAAACAAAGGCTGTTTTCTTGCTTTTTTCCTTTTCTATTCATTAAAAAATAAAATAAATTGCATGACCTGGGGAGTGATTGGTGGGAGGGGGGAGAAGGGGGCGGACGAAGAAGCTGGTGGGGGTTTTGGCGGGACAATAAAAAATACTGCACGTACAATACCTTGGTTCTCTTTCCTTCAGCTAGCGCTCACTGCTTTCCTCACCCACTTTTTCCTTTCTTTATTTAATAGCATATCCCATTAATATTCCTTTCCCCCGCTGCTCCTAATAGCCGCGCCCAGTGGCGCGATCGTTAGAGTTTTACATGTGAGTAGCAAATGACACTTTGATTGGCTGTGATGTGGAGATGGGGGTCCCCCGCCGGCTCTGGGTCGGGGGCCCCGGCTGAGCTGCGAGATCCTGCCGAGCCTCGGTCTCACTGCGCGTGCTGACTCAGTGTGTGGTTCTGCAGGGAGAGGGCGAGAGGGAGAGATAGGGAGAAAAAGTGAGAACACATGATGAGAGAAATAATGGGCTACATGAGCGGAGTGCTTTCCATTTGCCCCCCCACCCAATAATAGAGCAGAAACACAGCCGCCTCCCACAGCACAGACAGCGAGGCCTCCTCGCTCCTCCATACGCCGGCTGACGAAAGACGAGAACGGGAGAGAAACGACTCTGCGACGTACCGGTCGGTGCAGCGCAGAGCCTCACGTGTGCTAACGGGAAAACAACCGAGGGAAAAGAAAAATGGCAGTTTGAAAGCAATTTAAACACCAAGCTCAACACGCGGCTCTGCCAACAATAGAGCAACAACAGATCCGCCATTTTTGCAGATGGAATAGGAAGTCCGTAGGACCAACTCAAGACCGTGTAGTGTTTGGAGCGCCCCGGTTTGTTTGTCAGGGCCTTGAAACCCTCGTAGCTTTTCATATTGTGATTCATATTTTACAGAAAGTGTCGCCATGACTCAGAGACGCGTTCACATCATTACATCATCACAGTGCAAAAAAGACAAATACACTTTTTTTCAAAATGAAAATTCACACCAGCTCAAAGAGAGACCGAAGACGTGACCTCGAGGTCAAAACAGAG